TGGAAGGAAAATGTGTGTATTGAGGGTAAGAGTACTAGAGGGGAGAGTGGAGGGAAAGCCTGCACGCTTTTTTGTGGGAGACAAAATTGCACTGCTGAGTGCAAGATAATTGCACTGACTGGGTCTCGTTTTCCCAAATGGGCTTTGGTAACACCTGAGCCAGAGGGAGCGAACAGGCACAAATCCGTTCCAGACAGTCGGTGTACTTCTGTAAGCCAGTCCTGCTACCTTTGCAATCAGCTTTTCCTCGAGAGGAATCTCAAAGTCCTCTCCAAGCCCTAGCTCTCATTTCCAGCTCTGTCCCACACCCCTCGCAAGAGGGAGCATGTGGGAAGGAGGAGATGAATCACCACAAGTTCAAATCACTGGTTTGGGCCTCCCTGTGTTATCAGGCTGTATTTTTCCATAGGAGCAACCACACAGGCCTTTTCTAAGTTATATTTTCTTACCTGGAGCCCAGCAGCTACTTCATCAGCCAGAAGCAAGGGCAAATCTGCTCTGATGCTGCCTAGGTCTCCTTGGGATGCTCCAAGCCAGGTTCTCCTTTGGGATGAACAGATACTACTGTCTTGGACAATGTGGAGTTGAGAGCAACATATCGAAGATTTCTTCTTTGCAGCCATAGCTTTCAGCTATCCCCTTGCATATTCCTTGCTGTTGAACAACTGTGTCCTGTCTAGGAGCACCATGACTCAGGAGCCAGCTGTGGTGAGATGGACAGGGTGGACTCACTATTTGCTGAAACCTCATGTGCTGCGGTGCTGGCGCTGGAATGGCGGATGTTTGAACCCAAAAGGCTCCCAGGATGTGTGTGGGTGTGTGTTTGTGTGCTCTCACAGAATCACAGAATGACCAAGGTTGGAAGGGACCTCTGGAGATCATCTAGTCCAACCCCCTGCTCAAGCAGGATCACCTACAGCAGGTTGCCCAGGACCGTGCCCAGTTGTGTTTTGAATATCTCCAGGGAAGGAGACTCCACAACCTCTCTGGGCAACCTGTGCCAGTGCTCTGTCCCCTCCCCCCCGGCCCACAGCACTAGGAGGATGACACAGTGTTTGCTTTTCAGGAGGAATTCCCACCTGGGTAAATGATTGTGTTCACCTGGTTTCTATCTCCTGCACAGGAGGGAGGGGATGAAACAAAAGTGGTGACCTTTCACAGTCACCACTGTTTCCCTGTTTCTCTCATCTGCCTGCATATGCAAACTTGGGGCCCTATTATTCAGTCTAGCTGTGAAAAGAAACCCTTTATCTCTTTCAGCTCCACGCATAGGCAAAGTTCAATGTTTTTCATGACATTTTTGACCCAGTTCCCTTTGGTCTCTTTAGTTCATCACTCATCTCTGTGTGGGCATGGTGCATCGTTGCTCTGAGGGGGCTTTGCACCCTGAACGTGTTGCATTGCACGCCAGGGCCCTGCTGTGCTCGGTGCGGTGCACAGTGGAGGCAGTCTGCATGGGAGAAATTGCAGCTTCGCTGAAGCAATGCCTTGTTCCCAGATCTCCTGTTCCCTTTGGTAAGGGCAGAAGCAACAGGGAACAGCAGCCACACAAGTCAAAGGCCACACAGTCTAGACTGGGGCACGTTCTGAGAGTAGGACCTGAGCAACTTCAGCAGGGACTGTCAAACTTGAGTAAATCAAGATTTGGAAGCTGCAGTCTAAGAGATTTAGGAAACCTTCTTGGCAGATTTTGGAGGGGGGGGGGCTGGCCTGCAGATGAGCTTTACCCTGGTAGGAGCAGCTACACAGCATTAGAGCAATAAGGTATTTGCTTCTTCCCTTGTGTGAATGTAGGATAGGACCACAAAGACGATTAAGGGATTGGAGCATCTGACAAGCGAGGACAGGCAGAGCTGGGACTGTTCATCCTGGAGAAGAGGAGGCTTGGGGGGGATCTTATCACTGTGTGTAAATGTTGGGTGGAAGGGTGTTCGTCAAGAAGATGAAGCCAGAATCTTGTCAGCGGTGTCCAGTGAAAGAACAAGAAGCAGTGGGCACAAGCTGAAATATAGGAAATTCCATTTAAGCATAACACTTCTTTACTGTGAGGGTAGTGGAACACTGGACCAGCTTGCACCGAAAGGTTGTGGAGTCCCCATCCTTGCAGATATTAACAATACGACTGGACATATTCCTGAGCAACCTGCTCCACCTGACCCTGTTTGAGAAGGGAGGTTGGACTTGATGATCTCCAGAGGTTCTTTCCAACCTCAGCTATCTGGTGACTCTGCACTTAGGACGGACCACTGGGAACACATTCTGGAGCTTGATGGTGCTGCACGGTCCCTCTGCAAGGAAGCATGGCAGTCCCTGTCTACCCTCCAGGGTGGACTCCTGGGAAGGCTTAGTGAGCGTTCTGGGACTTGCCCAAGTCGTGTGTAGAGCCCATGTTGTGTGTCTCCTTCCAGCCAGGCCTATATGTGGTGCTGGGCTGATCAGTGATAAAGCATCGCTCTTAACTCCACAGCCTGATGCATCTCCTCAGATGGGACCAGACACGCAGTGTCACTGGGCAGGGAAGAGGCCATCACCCTCCACCAGAGCTGAGGATTGTGGTGTTTAGGAGTCTTTGTGCTCCCAGGAGACACAATTTAGCTGCAACGTGCCAGGGAGGTTTGAACCTTATGGGAGAAAGGGGTTAAAACGTCCGCGGGCTGCTTTGTGCTAGAGCAAGTGTGTACCATTAGTCAACTATGCCAGACCAAAAGCACGTTGAAACTCCACATTCAGGTTTGCTTCTGGATGGGAAATGACTACTGCAGCATCCAGACAACTGCCTGAATTAATCCTTCAAGGACAATAAGCACCGAGGAACACATCTTCATTAGCAAATAGAGAAGTTGAGTCAGATGAGGAGCATGTTGTGCAGTAGGAGTCTACCTTGGCATGAACGTTTCCAGCCTTGGCACCCTCAGTGCTGTCATAGGTCAGAGAGAACAGGGTATAATTAACTGTACCTCTCGTCTGTGCCAGGACAGGCTTCTGCTTTGATGAATGCATAGGGCTTCCCTCTCCTGAAATGAGAAACCACGGAGTTTTAATTTGCAAACTCTTGCCTGATGAGGCAGGCAGTCACAGCCAACTAGCAGCTGTGCTCTTGGGAAAGGTCCCCGAGCATCTGACACCTTTTACCCTGTGATAATTTCTGTATAGTGGGTTAGGTTTTTCATGCTTTGGCCCCACTCCTGTTCTCCTCTGTCTACATGAGTATCAAGTGACTCCCTTTTGTACGCTGCAGATTCACCCAAGAGTAGAAAGTGCAGCTGTGGTCCTCAAGTGAGGAAAACGCAGTGCCTCTACCTGCCTCAGCAGGAATGCTACAAGCTGATTTTGCAGAGTCCCGTTGCTGACAGACAGGACGGGTGCTTCCCCTGCTGCTGGCTGCTTCCTCAGCAATATGAAACAGGAGTTGAACATCAGAGCTCTTCTCCCATCTCTCTCTGCACTCAGTGATGCTGAAAGCATGGATGCCTCTCAGCTTTGGTGGCTGTTGGACTGCCTCCCTCTAGTGCTTATCTCAGCCTCCTACAACTCCCGCATCGGGGAAGGGATTAGTCCTCTCCCTCTCACATTTGACCCCTGTATGGTGCATGTGTCCAGACGGAACCCAGGTTATTTTTTCAGTGTAGGGTGCTGGCTGAGAGGAGGCAGCAATAGGTAGGAATACTGGGAAGTGCTCGTGAAGCAGCAATTCCTGTTCCTCCCCATTAGGAATATGGGAAGTGCAAAGATTGGCGGGAAATGTTATTTTAGGTGCAGCAGCCAATGTGAAAAATTGAGGGATGGGCAGGCAGAGGGAAAGGAGGAAATACTTCAGCTTTAAGGAAAAATATGCCTTTACTTTGTCACCTCATATTAAATATAATAGCAAAGTGGAAGAGTTTTTTTCAAGTCTTTCAGTGTCCCATCCGCTCTGTCCCTCCAGGTGGACATGCCCTTCCAAACTGGATTTATCAGGAGAAAATAAAAAAAAGCAATGTTTCACATGAAGCTTGCTCAGCACCCTCTGTTATTTAAGTGCTTTTTTGGCTAGGCTGTAAGTGGGAGTTGAAAGAGGGGAGGACAGTCTGACAGGAGCTGGGCAGAGGAAAGGCAGCGTGTGTGGTGTCTGAGTGGCTGGAGGGATGAGCTCACCTCCTGGCTCCCTCCTCTCCAAGGTTTCACCATTCGTGGTCCATTACATGGTGCATGTGCACAATCCACTATGTCAGTTTTGGTGGCAGGGTGAGCATTTAATTCTCCTGGGCAAGCCACAAAGTGTTTGGCTCACCAAATGTTTTCTATCTGCTGCGGTGGGATCTGAAGGACAGACCTCTAGGTGAGGACACTTAGCTTTCAGGCCTCGACTTCTTGTGACCATGGCTGAGCCTTCAATCTGCACTGAGCTTTCCTGGGTGAACTGTCCTATATAGGCATTGTGATTCCTTTTCTAAATTCCTGTCTTTGCCCACTCCCACAGGACTTTATTTCTGGATGTATAATCCACAAGCCCCAGTGTGGGAGACTGTGGCCTTGGGTGATGCTCTCAGCTCCAAATGCTTTTCAACCAGAAGGTCCCCAGAGCAAATGAGAGAGAGGAAGAAGCTTATGAAACAGCTGAAGGGTAGAGAGAACTGAAGGACTTATGACAAACAGCAAAGGACAGACTTGAAAGAGGAGATGGGTCACGAGGGCTATAATGGTGTGATAATGTACCGTTTTCACTGAGGATAATTATAGCCAGGCAAGGTGGTTTTGATGCTGGAACAGAAGAGCCACCCAGGGGGTTGGGTAGGTGTCATTTCAGCCATGATGCTTACCCAAGTCCCAAGGAGATCCCTAGGCAGGAAAGGATCCTTCTGTCAGTGGTGTGATGAGCCAAGCCTGCAAGAAAGGCTGCAGGTGGCATCTAAATGGGGCCTGAGGAGGACAGAAAGAGATTTTCCTTTGACGGGAAACCTTGTTCCTGATTCCCCTGACTCCTCATTTACGTGGTGTATCTGTTTTCTCCTATTCCACAGGAAATCTGCAATGACCCACGTCTCTTTGTGGATGGGATCAGCTCCCATGACTTACACCAGGGCCAGGTCGGGAACTGCTGGTTTGTGGCTGCCTGCTCCTCCCTGGCGTCCCGGGAGTCTCTGTGGCAGAAGGTAAGCGGTTGCCTGTGCAAAAGGAAAGGCTGTCTTCAACACCTTGGCCTCGCATTGTGTTTGTCCACCTCATAAAATGGTTCTTCTGGGGCACCTCAGATCCTAAAAAGCTGTTCACATGCATAAAACCTCCTTCAAATGACTGACTTTGGGGGGGAATTCAGTTGATGTGTAGCCACATCACAGTCGAGCCAAACTCCTGGCCTCTCTCAACCAAATGAATCAAGCCTCATGCTGCTTCTTCAGATCCCAAATCTGACTCTCCTCACTCCAGAATAATCTAAAAAACAACAACAACAACAAATGTTGAGGATGTTCAGCTGCAGTGTTCAGCCCCATTTCTCTAGTTCCCATGGCATTATCTCTCTCTCTCTCTGCTTGTTTTGTGCCCATCCCGGCGATAAGACACCATGCACTGGGACAGGTAGGGCGATTCAAGGGTATTACCATCTCTCCTAAGGCACTGCTTCCCCAAAGCAGGTGTCTCTGGCTGGTCAGCCCACAGCTGGATTGCCTACCACATGGCAGGATCCTCCTTTGAGTGTGGAGTCCAACAGGGACAGCTCCACAGCCTCTTTGACACTGATCAGGAATCTTCACCCACAGCCTCCTACTGCCACATACCCACAGGGTCCAAATATTCCCTCCCACCTGTGATACATCCAGTCTCTGTGGTATGGGTTTTTTGTAATCATAAACACTAAGCTCAGCCTTGGGAATGTGTATTTGTTGCAGCATTCCTGTTTTCTATTAAATCTGGGTCTCTCCCTTACATGGGAAAGGAAGATGTTGGCTTCTGGATTATCAGTCAGGTTTCCTTCCATCCATGGTTGCTGTGACTGTAGTGGCTCTTGTTTCTAGGGTGGTACAAGGTGTTGTTTAGCTTGTTCCTCCACATTGCCATCTCCCAGGAGCAAGTGTGTGAGTTGTCTTCCCTGCTCACCATTCACTTCCAGCCCTGCCATGGGAAATGCCAGTCAAACAGAAGCTGGGTCCCTTTGGAGACCTCATTATTTCAGCTTGCCAGCTGCACTGCTTTTCCTCCCTTGGCAATTTTGCTGTGGGTGTTTGTGACTTCTCATTTTCCATGCCCTTAACTCTCACAGACTCTTCTTTACCTGCCTGCTGCATCCTCCTCTCTTTTGGAAAGATTTGTTTTCAGGAAAAAACAAAAGCTACAATCCTTTTCCCAAGCCTTCTCTTCTAGTGATATCCAGTTTGCTGCAGTGTTCATCCTAGGGCTACAGTCAGGCAGCACACACCTGATTTTGGAGACCTCTAAATTACATGGGACCTTTACTAACAGCTATATCTACTGCACAAGTTGCGATGACCAGCCTGCATTTATCACGTCGACAAATTTCATCCACTTACCCCTCTGTGGAGCCCAGTAACATGCATTTGGTTAAAATATCTCTCCTGGGATGATGTCCAGCTGTGAAGAGTTGGATCAAGAATTTATTGGGAGCGCTCTCCAACGGTTAGTCCCTCTCATGGGCACAGGCTGGGATTGCAGTTTGTGCCCTACCTCTCTGATGAGTATGATGGGACCTTGGGAAAGACCTTGTGCCTCAGCTTCCCATCTGTAAAAAGGGAGAGCATTGTCCCCTTTGAGAGCTAGTGACAAATAGTGCTCTGCAAGGAGTGAGCATGGCTATGAACTGCAACAGCAGCTTCCAAAGTAAAACAAGATAAATCAAGCGCATAGACTAACCCCTAGGTCCGAGGCCATCAGCTCTGTGAGATGTGCTCAGTTTGAAGCACGGTCCTTGCCAAGGATCTTGAAGTTCTTCACTGGCCCAGAAGTAATGGGTCTCTTGGTCCTTGCTACAGTTGCATGTGCAGTTGCAATGCCATTGCTGAGGTATCTGTTCCTCGTTGGCCCCCAGGCCTCTCTGCACTGTGGTGTGACTTGCAGACCATGGGGACTGCACACATCTTAAGGGATAGGACCTAGTGCCTACAGACTGCCAGAGAAATGTCTGCTCCTAACTAATCAATACGCTGATAAAAATGGCAATCATAGTGACAGACAAGACAGCAGAACACTAGGTTCTTAAACTATCATTAGACACCAAAATGTCTCTAATTCAGAGTCCAGGATGAAACGGAAGATGCTGATGTATGTACATGTTAGTATTGCTGAAATATCAGCCCAGGGATCTTGGCCCAGGTTTCCCATTGATTCTAGAAAACTTAATCCTGAGTTACATCACGATGTAAATTAGGCTGTGTATATCCTTTGCTCCATCGTGCACAGCAAAACAGTCTCTCTGCCATTGAGGTGAGCAAGTGTGGGGAAGGGGAATTCCTTCAAGGAAACAAGATGGGGTAGCACATCCTTGTGTACCCCAAGAGATGGATTTTATTCACACT